TAAAATATAAGTTGATTTTATTTCTTGATTAATACGTTCTTTTGCTTCACGTGTTTTTTCGTGTAGGTAGTGACAATGTTTAGATGTTATATTCATTTGTTGTTCATTTGAACGGATTATCTTTGCATAAAAGACAATATCTGAGATTAGAATTTATATTGAGTAATTTTAGTAAATTATTTTTAAAGGTAGAACTATTCAAAAAAAAAACTGCGTATTCAATCAAAAGATAGTCTTCTCACCTATTGATGTTTTATAAATAAATAATTGATCTATATTTTAAAAAAACAAATAGTGACTGCTAACATGATTTGATCATGTTTATTTTCAATCTTTATTTCTACTGCAATAAACACTAAGATTTTATTTCAAAAAAACATTTTTGAAAATGATTGTTAGTTTTCAAAGGATAGAGTCTCTGAAAAATTCAAAACCAAATTTTTCAACTCCTAGAATTCTGTTTGAGTTACTCAAAATGAAACATCTTCTAGATCTCTACAGTGTTCTTTGGTCGAAATATATCAACCTTACGGAAGACACAAAAGTCAATTTTTTCTTACTATTTCATAAGAAAGCATCATGTTTGTGCCTTGTGTAAGATTGATGTATCTCGACCAAAAATACGTTATAGAGAGCTGAAAGACGTTACATTTTGTAGAGAATTTAACATACTATCAATCTAATTAATTCAAACAGAATCCTAGGAGCTGAAAAACTTACTTTTTGGTTTTAGAGGGACTCTGTCCTTTGAACATTAGCAATTATTTTCATCTTCGAAAACTGTTGCTAGAAGTAAAATTCTCTACTCAAACCACTATTTGGACTTTTGTTTAGAGTTTACATGACAGCGAAAAGAAATTGAAAATAAAACTAGTCGAATAATTTTGGAAGTCACTGTATATAGACAAGTTTAGGTATGTGATTTGTAAACTATTACATGAATTGAACATTTAAAAAAATGATCCAATAGTTAATTAAAAAACTTTCATGAAAAATTAAGCCAATAAAATCCAATTTTGGTTTCAAATAGTTGTTCGCTTCGACTTGCTTGCTCATGAGAATAATATTAAGTCTTGTATAAAATTGATTGAAAACAGTTCTTTTTTTATTTAGTAGAAGATTCTGACGAGAAAAACAGTAATTGTTAATTTCTGAATATTTTTCAACGTCAGCTCTTCTTCAGACATTGAAATCTCGTCAGTATGAGAAGGGCTAATTGCCATAAATTGCTTTCCTTTGTAAATATCTTTTATCAATTAGAGCTAATAATTGATTGTAATTCTCGAATTGAAATCCCATTCATTCCAATTTCGAATAGAAATGTTCGAGATCATTTTCTTTAATTTGCAATTCGTTTAATATCTTATTTTCTTTGATTTCTATTATTTACTTGGATTTGTACAATGCACGAGAGCCCTAGTGAATGCACTAAGTTCAAGATACTTGTGCATTGAGTCTGTTATCAGCAGGATACCTTTTCGGATATTCTACTACCAGTATGTCGCACGATCTTGATTGGATACTCTGTTGAGAATTGTCTCAATACACGGATACTTTCCAGATACCTGCCCAGTTTCTATAACATTCTATGAAAAGTTTTTCAACAAGTTAGTACATTGAACATTTAGTAGCATTTCGTAGTCAAGTACTAAAAAGCCGTAAAATACCCTAAGACACTGAAGTATCTAAAGATTCCTGTGACATACTAGTAGTTGGGTACCATGAATTCAGTACATTTTATTAGATAACAAATTTGTTTGTCAATATAAATTAATTCTTTAGATAAACTTGAATAAACAAAAGCATCTCATTTACACTAACTTTATTTATAGTTGATCTTAAGAAAGCAATTTGTGTTTTAAAATTGACATGTAACATAGTGATATCTTTAACAAATTTTTCTTTTAATTGTTGTTTATCAAATTTAAATTGAATAAGTTGTTTAAGAGCATCTTCTTGTTCAATAACATTTAAAATATTTATTTGATTATCAAGTTCATAAAAATGTTGATCAATAAATAAATGTTTTAAAGATTCTCGTTCTTGTTCAAATTCATATTTTAATATATTTAAACGATATTCATAAATATGACGTTCACCATTTCCTATTTCTGTATATAAATATAATAGATGATCAGTTATTTCAATTGAACTAAGAAAAATTTCTCGTATAAATTTATTATTTTCATCAAATTGATTATTTAAACAAAAATATTTATAATCAATTAAATTTATCTAAAAAGAAAATATTTCAAAACAAACAAAAAAACAAAAGAAACTTTGATTTTTATTAAATTACTTTATGTAAAAAATAATTTTTAATTTCTTGTTGATGACTTTCATTCAATTGATGAATTACTTGTGGTTGTCGAATATGAATCCATTTGTTATTTAAAAGACGATCAATATTATATATAATCGGTTTTATTTTCGAATTATATACTTCTAAATGAGACATATAATTCAATTGATTGGGCCATTGTCGATGAGTTCGGAGTTGAATGTAATGAATTGATTTACGAGATATTTTCTTTGCTCGTTTCTTTTGCTTTTTATTTGACATGATATTGAATCTAAAATGATCATTAATGAGAAGAATATCAATATGGCGCTTTGTTAATACAGATATATGTCATATAAAGAAATCATTTTGTACGAAATTGAAGAAATATTTAATAGAAAAATCAAGAGAACATTTGTATTTATCTTCGATAGGATAATCTTTTTAATATAAAAATTGCCTTTGCCTTCTCTAACTTGTAGAAAACTGAATAATTTAAATTTTTTAAATGAAAGGACACTACCAGATAATACCAGAAATCTATCATCCTCTTAAATCTCACTCTGAATAGAATAGAAACGTTGAGGATAAAATTCCGTACATTCCTATCTATTTATCTTATTTTTCCTGAATGCAAAAAAAAACAATTTCGTGGTCCAAATAGTCTTTGAGGAATCTATCACTTTTGGACGTTTCGAATAATAACTATAGCACGCGGAATTTTTTCTATTATAAATCCAAAATGAATACTAATAGCTTAGATCGACGCAATTTCTAAAGCTCTGTAAAAATGCATAATGATCATATTCACTAGTAAGTTTTCTTTTAGATTATGTAGAATCATACAGGTGTGATATTTTACACAGTTCGTCAAATGAAATTCTTAGAAATTTTTAACTTGAAATTATTTTCAAAAGAAGAAAATACTCAAATTTCCTGTAATAATAAAACATGTAGAACAGCTTTATCGTACAATAATAATATTGATATAAAGCAACAATGTGAAAAAATAAATCAGCAATTGATTTATTTCTATGTTTATTTTGTTTTGGGTGAGGTGTGGGTGTGAGTGTGATGAGAAGACCTATATCCACATCCATACTCACCCATACGCTTTATATCACTATTATTATTCTCTATCAAAAATCCATATATTTTCTTAAATGTATGTACTCCCTACAGCAACTATAATCATGGTACTTATTTATCTATTTAGAGATCCAAATATTAACTGATGCATAGGTAATATTGGTCGTGTATTAAGTCCTGTTGGTGGTGTAGGTCATGTTTCACGTATAGGTACAACATCTCAATCAATTAATCGTCGTTCTGAAGATTGTCTCAAATTATAGACTGAAAATTCAACAGGATTATTTATATTTAACAATTTATGTCATTGTTGTTATTATTAAAAACAAAAAACTAGTTTTGAATAAAAAAAACAAAATAAACAGAAATAAATTCTATTGTTAATTTATTATTTCACATTGTATTGCTTTATATCAATATTATTCTTGTCTCTCAAAAATCCATGTATTTTCTTAAATGTAAGCTTTATTGTACGAATAGATTGCCAATAAGTTCTTCCACTAGCCTAATATCTTTATACTCTATTGTTTGTTTATTCGCCATCTATCTTAAACACTATCTTACTACGAAAAAGCCAGCATAACTGATATTTAGATCAGTTGGTATAAAACAACTAATGTTTAAGTTCAAAACTTTCTATGTTTTCATAGCTAGTATGTTAAACTAAAATCAAGTGTAACAATAAAAGACGAGGAACATACAAATATGTATGGTGTATCCAACATTGCGTAGTTTTAGCTTAGCAAATGAATTATAGCAATATTTTAATGGTATACGTATTGATAGCTAGCGGAAGAATATTGATATAGGATTATGATGACATTGGTGGTATCACATCATATTGCAATACTCACATCTGTATGATTCTATATAATTGAAGAGAGAAGTTAATCCTAAAAAGTGGAATGTCCCTTCCAAAGGACATTGCGATAACTGCTATAAAAACGTAATAAAAATTATTTACGCAAAAATCAAACATTTCCTGAATTCACGTGTTCTGGTAGATCATAGAGGGAAAAAGAACTTACTCAAAACTAACTGTCAGAAAGTACAGTAGATTTTTTAAAAACTCGTAAATTTTAAAAATGCCATTTTTATTTTGAAAATTTTGTCTGGTCATAAATATAACATAATTTTTTGGTTTCCTAAGCGACATCGCGATGCACAACATCAAATTATCCGATGAAACCATTCCATAAATTTTTAATCGACCTACTGCTGGCATAGTCTATAGCTCATTGAAGCACTACGCGAGTGGGTTTTGGTTATTGTTAATCTTACTAGGGATTGTCGCAAGAGGGAAATCAAGGGAAGGCTAATCTCCCAATCATCGAAAATTTTCGATGATCCTCAGACTTTTGTATCTGTAATGGAGACATCGACTCCATTCTAACCTTGAACCTATCTTGATAGTTCAGATTCTGCTTTCAATAACTACTTTGTTGGTGAAGCAAAATCCCTGGCACAGTTATAAGATGATCGTTTTCTTTTCGCTAATATTGACTGTACGGTACTTCAATGACCCGACGAGTAAGGATCATATTGAATCTGAAAGTGTGTAGATACTGAACAAGTACAAAATATTGCTTCAATTGGTTCTTTGTGTGATAAAAAATAAATAAATAAAATTATTCCTAAAAGAAAATTCTTTTTACATAAATTGAGCAAAGTAGAGGATTCATGCCGCTAATACCAAATATTCTTTCCAAGGAGCATTCTATATCTGTATGAGATAGAAAGATTGATTTTTCAACTATAGTATGAGCATGTTAAGAGTTCAGAATCATCATTTTTACGATCAACTTTCTCTCACTATAGAAAGTCCACTCGGCTTCGAAGAACTTATGATAAAGTAATAAAGATGTTATATTGTGGAGCATAGAAAACTCCGATGATCTATGTTATTAGATTTTCATATCGAGTTTATAATATAAGAAATTCTGGATACCATAATTATTATTCAAAATGTCCAAAAGTGATAGATCCCATAAGACTAGTTAGTTCACAAAAATTTTCTTTTGCATTCATCAAAAAGCAAGATAAATAGACAGAAATGTACAGAATCTCATATTCTATATTTCTGTTCAATTGAGAGTGAGATCTAAGGAGGTGACAGATTTACATTCCTATACGGCAGTATCTTTTATCATGTTTATAGCATCAATTGTATGTTTAATTTTATAAACGAACAAATAAAAACATTTAAAAAGAAAATTTATATGAACACAAATAATTGATAAATTCAAAAATACTCTGAAACAGAATCTTGCTTATTTTCTGGTGTACTGATTTGTTTATTTATTTCTTCATTTAAATCATCAATGAGATTTCTTGTTAGTTGAATTTGTTCATCGTCATCATCAAAATGTTTTTTTAATATATTTAATTTTAATTGAGCCATTTCCGATGCTTTATCATATCGTGATTGATCATAATAAAGTATGCATAAATTATTATAAGTATCAGCAAGATCTAAATTATCCGATGATAATGTTGCTTGTTCGATTTCAAGTGCTTGAGTGTAACATAATAATGCTTTATCATAATATCCTTCTTGTCGATAAACAATTCCCATATTATTTAAGGTAGCACTTATTGATGGATGTGTTGATGGTAAAGTTTTTTGTTTTATTTTTAATGCATTTTTATAACAGGCTAATGCTTTCTCATAATTATCCATTTCTTGATAAACAGTTCCAAGTATATTTAATGAATCACCGAGTGATGGATGATCTGGTGCTAATGTAAGTTTTTTCATTTCATATGATTGTTCAAATAATTCTAATGCTTTTGTTAAATCTCCTCGTTTCTTATAAATTGCTCCAATAGCAGTTAATGTTGTTGCAATTGATGGATGATCAGGATTATCAACAAGTACTGCACGTTTCATTTTTAAAGCTTGTTCATAATATTCTAATGCTTTTGATGTTTGTTTTTGCTCTAAATAAATATTTCCAATATTATGTAATGTTCGTGCTATATCAAATGATTGTTCTTTTGGTTTAATTTCATTTTTTTGTAAAACTAATGCTTGTTCATAATAACCAAGAGCCTGTTTATATTCACCACGAAAATAAGCAACACGACCCAGATGAAAATAGATTTGTGGAACATCTTTATGATCTTGTGGTAAATCTGATAAAAGACGTTTTAAATATTTTTCAGATTTTTCATATTCACCCATATCACACATCTAACTCAATAAATGTGTTATTATTCTTATTATCTAAGAAGAAAGAATAACTTACCAATCGACTAAATAATAAAATTGAATTTGATTCTTCAGCTTCTTTTCCTATACTCTCAATGTATTCATTCACGTCATATGATGATTTGTCTACACCTACAAAAGACAAATAGCAGTATTTATTTTTAAAAGTAATACAATAAAAATTCTCTCTGATGAATATTATCAAGACTTTTCCAGAACATTTACTCATAAGAAAGGATTCCTATTTTACTATGATGATGAAACTATCTAGTTTTTGATGATCTTGTTTTAACATAAATATTAATTTTTATTGTTTTGCAATCCATCAGAAAAAAGTGCGAGCTCGTTTGAGCTTAAAAAGCATCATAATTAGTAAATGAATGCTTTATTTTTTAATGAACCTATTTATTTCTATTGTGCAATATTCTAATAATGAATGCAACGTGAAAAAGAATTTCAAAAAAGAAAACAAAAATTTCTTTTGCTGTCTTCACATAATCGAGCATGGTTTTCCTCTCTTGCAACAATTTAATATGATTTCCAAGAGTTTTTCAATGTCTTCAAGTCCACTATTTCCCTATCGATTCTGGTATCATATTATCTATCATTATAATATGCTCAAATCCACAAAAATATAGCACTGATATGAACAACATTAATATGTTCTTTAAAATCAATGAAATAAAATTACACAATAAAATCGCAGTTTTGATCAATCTCTTAAGATTTGTGTGAAATCCGCTTAGGTGAACATTGAAATCAAGTAAATAATCACAATTAAAGACTTAATTGAGAGATCAAAATTTTGGAGCAGATTCAAATTCCTTCCACAAATTCTTGTAAAAAGGCTTATTTCCATTAATACTTGCTATACTCCATAGTGCTTAGTGGTATGCATTTTTTTATAAACGTAGTGCCCAACACGATGACACAATACTCAGCAAGATGACATACTGCAAAACAGGACGGTATAATGTTTAGT